CAGCACCACCGACAGTGTGTAAAAGTCAACGGGAAGGAGGTCAGTGGTCTACGGGATACCGGGGCAACCATGACCTTGCTCCAGAAGCACCTGGTATCCGAAGCCCAACATACAGGGGACACGGTCGCAGTGCGAGTGGCCGGGGGTGCCGTGTTTCGTCTGCCCGTTGCCCGGGTACATTTGGATTGGGGAGTGGGCGCCAGACATGTGAATGTGGGGGTCATGAAGGACTTACCCGCGGATGTCCTCCTTGGCAATGACTTGGCGCCCCTTGTTTCAGCCTTCGCTCCCATGGGTCCCGCTGAAGTGGATGCTGTCACGACCCGTGCCCAGACCCGTGCCGCCGAGACCGGCCCACCTGCTGCTGAGACCCAGGTAAGACTCTCTCCCCCGACTTGTACCTTAGACCAGGCCCCTTTAGGCTGGGATACCCCAGAGATGTACGGGAGGGAAACCAGGGAAGACCCGACGCTAGCCAAGTACAGGGCCAGGGCCGATTCTGGGGGAGAAGGAGTAGATGGGGAGCACTACGAGTGGGTGGGGGATAGATTGTACAGGATCCCGAAACCGTCCCAGAAGCCGAGTACCCCTCCGCAGAATCGACAGCTAGTGGTGCCTGCAAAATACCGGCAGGAGATTCTGCGGATTGGGCATGATGTGCCATTAGCAGGCCATCTAGGTTCCCGCCGCACAGCTCATAGGATCACACAAAATTTCTTCTGGCCCAATTTTAACCGAGATGTGCGGGTTTACTGTAGCACGTGTGACACTTGTCAACGGGTAGGTAAGCGGGGGGATCACCCAAAAGCTAGGCTTCAGTCGATGCCTATCATTGGAGAACCCTTTTCCCGCATAGCCGTTGACATTGTGGGTCCACTGGCCAGGGCTAGCCCATCAGGTAAGAAGTATATTCTCACCGTGGTGGACTATGCCACACGTTATCCAGAGGCAGTAGCGCTGTCTAATATAGAGGCAGAGACGGTTGCTGATGCCCTGGTTAAAATCTTCACTAGGGTCGGGTTCCCTCAGGAGATCCTCTCCGATCAGGGAACCCAGTTCACCGCTGTGCTTACCCAGCAGCTGTGGAAGGTGTGCGGTATTAAACCTCTGCTTAGCTCACCTTATCACCCACAGACTAACGGTCTCTGCGAGCGATTTAATGGCACCCTCAAACAGATGTTGAGGACCTTTACTGACACTTGCAGAGATTGGGAGCGATTCCTGCCTCATCTGCTATTTGCATACAGAGAGGTGCCCCAGGAATCTACTGGGTTCTCCCCCTTTGAGTTACTCTATGGGAGAAGGGTCCGTGGACCCCTAGATCTCATTAGAGGACACTGGGAGGGGGAGACAGAGCAAGAAGGGACTCCCATAGTACCATATGTCCTGGAACTCCGGGACCGCATGGAGAAACTATCCCTGATGGTCAGGGAGAATCTCCAGGCGGCCCAGGGGAGACAGAAACGGTGGTACGATCGGGGTGCCCGACAGCGGGTCTTCCAGGTTGGGCAGAAGGTTCTGGTACTCAAGCCTGTGAAGACAGACAAGATGCAAGCATCTTGGCAGGGCCCATATAAAGTGTTAGCTCAGGTGTGTGATACTACCTACCTTATAGCCAGCTGTTCAGATGAAAGGATTCAGCGATCCTTCCATGTGAACATGCTGAAGGAGTATCAGGAACGACCAGAGGATGTTGCGGCGGTATGTGCCCCAGCTACTGACGACCCCGAGAACTTACCGTTACCTGACTTGCTAGAGAGAGACCCCCAGACAGACCTTACTAGTCTTGTACAGCTAGGGGACCGGCTAAACCCGGCAGAGAAGGTACAGGCGAGACAGTTACTGTGGGAGAAGCAGGCGACGTTCTCCCAAGAACCCGGGTACACTACCCTAGCTGTACACAAGGTCGAGACACCCGGACAGAACCCCCTACGACAACCCCCATACCGTATCCCTGAAGCAGTCCGAGAAGGAATGCGGACGGAGATACAGGAGATGACCAGGCTGGGGGTTATCGAACACTCAGACAGTCCTTGGGCCTCGCCTGTAGTTCTGGTGCCTAAGAAAGATGGGACCACCCGGTTCTGTGTGGACTACAGGCGGCTCAACGAGCGGACCATCACTGACGCCTACCCTATGCCCCGGGTAGACGAGTTATTAGACCGCATTGCCAGGGGGCGCTACTTGACCACCATTGACCTGTGTAAAGGTTATTGGCAGATCCCCCTGGCCGAGGATGCTATCCCTAAGTCGGCATTCGTCACCCCATTTGGCCTGTACCAATTTAAGGTTATGCCATTTGGGATGAAGAATGCTCCGGCTACGTTCCAGCGTATGGTGGATAGGCTCCTCGATGGCTTCCAGGATTTTGCATGTGCATACCTGGATGACATTGCGGTCTACAGTGAGTCCTGGGAAGACCATTTAGTACACGTGGGGGTGGTGCTGGACAAGATTCGGGCCGCAGGCCTGACCTTGAAGCCAGACAAGTGCCATCTAGGCATGGCAGAAGTACAGTACTTGGGTCACAGAGTAGGCTGTGGGAGCCAGAGACCGGAGCCAGCCAAGGTAGAGGCTGTAGCTAACTGGCCCACACCTATCACCAAGACCCAAGTGCTGGCCTTCTTGGGGACGGCAGGGTATTACCGACGTTTTGTCCCTGACTACAGTACGGTTGCTAAGCCCTTGACTGACCTGACTAAGAAGAATTTGCCTAAGCAGGTCCTGTGGTCTCCAGCTTGTGAAGCCGCGTTTCAAGCACTTAAGCAGGCTCTTGTGAATGCCCCTGTCCTGGCTGCCCCAGTCCCTAACAAACGTTTTCTTGTACATACAGATGCTTCCATGTATGGACTGGGGGCTGTGCTAAGCCAGGTCGGGGAAGATGGAGGAGAGCACCCTGTCGCATACTTAAGCAGAAAGTTACTACCCCGGGAAGTAAGTTATGCGGCAGTGGGGAAAGAGTGTTTAGCCCTGGTCTGGGCACTGAAGAAACTGAGCCCATATTTATACGGACAAGAATTCTCCCTTATTACGGACCATAACCCCCTTGTCTGGCTTAACCGGGTCTCAGGAGACAATGGCAGACTGCTGAGGTGGAGTTTGGCACTACAGCCTTACAACTTCACCATCAGCTACCGACCCGGTAAGCAGAATGGGAACGCGGATGGGTTGTCCCGGCAAACAGACGTCCCTACTTCTTCCCAGTCCGGTCATCCCCAAGTTGACCTGCCAAAGGGTCAAGCCGGGTCTGCCGGAGTGTTCCACAAGGGGGGAGCCGTGTGACAGACCCATCTGTCTGGATTATAAATGCTGTGTTCGCCTGTTTTGCCGGTTACATGAATTTCCCCATTCGTATGCTTTATTCAAGGGAATGTCGGTTTTGTCGAACGGAACTACCGAACGGATGGCCACCCAGAAGAGAAGTGTGCTGCTGGTTAACCTATTGATCCCAATTAGAACGTTGCGGTTAACCACAGACACTTCTCAATTAAAACCGAATGCCGGGTGGTCGTCGTTCGTATGTCGACCACGAGGCGGCGGCCATTTTGTCCATGCGAACGACCAGCGGTGTTCGATTATTTCATGGATCGGAAAACGGACACTTTTTCAGCCGAACACCGCTGAAGCCGTCGACCTCCCCTTCTCAATCAACAAAAGCATACGAATGCCAGCCGTTCGGGAGATTCAACCACACGAATGGACTTAACCCAGATAGCCGTCCCATGGAGTCAATCGCATACCGACGAACTGAAAGAGACTTTGACTCCATGGCGATTGAACTGTGCGAATGGGATCTGAGCGCTATTCTTCAATAATGTGCCCTCAGATCCAGGCTATCTGGGGATATGCAATACGAATGTAATATGTTCGGCAGTTATGAAGTTATGGATTTTCATGTGTTTTTGTGACTTGTGTTTAAAATGGCGATTGCCTCTGCTCGGGGAGATAATTGAGTTACTTCCCAATTATCCCTCGAGCAGAGGGGAGGGAACTGTGATGCATGCTGGGAATATTGTGGGGATGTATGTCCAAAATGTCCCCATGTCCCTCTGTGATTTCAGTCTCCCATTTGGTCCCCTAGGGGAGTGTCCACCAAGTGGGAGACCTGCATAAATACCGGGCAGGTAGCCCACAGTAAATGAGTTCGTGTTTTACCCTCAAAGCGGAGCTTGGTCTCGTTATTGGGGGGGATTTGGATACCAGCGGCGAGAGACTGTTTATTTGGATTATTTGCCGCTTGGGAGATATGGTCGTTCGGTTACTAATTGCCGTTCGTGGATTTGCAGCTCGTGAAGGGAATTAGCCGTACGGGTACCGTTCGGGAGTTTGGAGTGTTCCCTGACTGGCGGTTCGCATGGTTTTATTATACTCGCTACCCGACCACATTATTGCGAACAGGGAATACTCGCTAAACGGCGGTTTGTACATTTCAGTACTGGAGGTACCGTAACACCCTACATTGAAATATTATATCCTTGAATATTCTATTTTTGCAAGTAGCTGTTTGAACATCTGTATGGACTCTGATAAAACCACTTCTTCAGGCAGAGAATTCCACATCCTGATTGTTCTTACAGTAAAAAAAAAAACCTTTCCTTTGCCTTAGACGAAATCTTCTTTCTTCCAGTCTAAACGCATGGCCTCGTGTCCTATGTAAAGTCCGGTTTGTGAATAGATTTCCACACAATGGTTTGTATTGGCCCCGAATATATTTGTATAATGTTATCATATCCCCTCTCAGGCGACGTTTTTCTAAACTAAATAGGTTTAAATTTGTTAACCTTTCTTCATAGCCGATATGTTCCATTCCTTTTATTAATTTTGTAGCCCGCCTCTGCACTTTTTCTAGTGCCATAATATCCTTCTTTAGAACAGGTGCCCAAAATTGCACAGCATATTCAATATGGGGTCTTACCAGTGATTTATAAAGAGGCAAAATTATATTCTCGTCCCGAGAATGAATGCCCTTTTTCATGCATGACAATACCTTGCTGGCCTTGGCCACTGCTGATTGACATTGCACATTGTTCCATAGTTTGTTGTCTATAACAATTCCCAAGTCCTTTTCGTGTGTTGTTATCCCTAATTCGCTTCCATTAAGGGTATACGTTGCTTGTGTATTCTTTACGCCGAAGTGCATAACTTTGCATTTTTCAACCTTAAATTTCATCTGCCATTTGAGTGCCCAGTCCCTCAGTCTATCTAAATCCCTCTGCAGCAAAGTAATATCTTGCTCACATTGTATTATTTTACAAAGTTTTGTGTCATCTGCAAACACTGAAACATGACTTTCAATGCTGTCTTCAAGATCATTTATAAACATGTTAAATAGAAGGGGTCCCAGAACAGACCCCTGAGGGACACCACTTTCCACCTCTGTCCAGCTTGAAAATTTACCATTAATGACAACTCTTTGTATTCTGTTTTTAATTCAGTGTTCTACCCAAGAACAAGCATTTTCATCTAGACCGATTTCCTTGAGTTTGAACACTAATCTATTGTGTGGAACTGTATCAAATGCCTTGGCAAAAACCAAATAGATCATATCCATGGCAACACCCTGATCTATACTTCTACTTACTTCTTCATATAACGCAATCAAGTTAGTTTGACATGACCTGTGCTTCATAAAACCGTGCTGATTTTTGCTGATAACCATGTTCTTCTCAAGTAATTCTTTAATATTATCCCTTAATAACCTTTCAAATATTTTACCAGCCACAGAAGTTAAGCTCACAGGTCTATAACTTCCAGGCAAGGATTTTGAACCCTTTTTGAATATAGGAACCACATCTGCCTTCCTCCAATCCTCCGGAACACTTCCTGAAAGAAAAGATTAAAAACAGAGGTTCACTTATTTCTACACATAGTTCCTTAAGTACACGTGGATGGATACCGTCAGGCCCTGGAGCTTTGTTTATATTAACTTTCTTTAGTTGCTGCAGCAGAGTGTCTTGTGTTAACCAATTACAATTATTCTGCAAGTTGTTAGTAGCAATTATTTGCAGATCTATTGCCATGGGTCCTTCCTTAATATTGTAACGAGAATATACCCCTACACGCAGGATCCAGCTAAACAGAGGCAAATACAGAGGAGAGATACGTCTACTGGACCTTAGAATGGCCGGACTCGACGTATATGAGAGGAGACAGAGCCAGGAACAAACCGAGGTCAAGGGCACAGAGAGACAGCGTAAACTAGGACAAGCCGGGGTCTGGTACACGGAAAACAGCAAGCCGGCAAACAGTACAGATAAGGATAAAGCGAAAACGAAGTCAGAATACGAAGCCAAAGTCAATACGAGAAAACACAACTGAACACCACAAGCGCTAAAGGGAACTGAAACAGAAACCACGATAGGGCAACGAGCTAAGGGAAAAAGGTAAGTTTAAATAGCTTTTAAACGAAAGTGATTGGCTCCTGTCACTTCCACACCCCCCATAGGTAATTGTATAGGGAGTGTGGTATGACAGGAGCCAATGGGAGCCTTTTGGCAATTAGGCTCCCACTGTCTCTTTAAGAGCACGCCCGAGACTCGCGGCGCGCTCTTAGTTTCAGGCGGGACACGTGACCGCTTCACGCGGTCACTGCCCGCCTTCCATCTAAAGCAGTCGGATGAGCCGCGCGCGGCTCGTGCAGCCGCAGGACCGCGCGCGGCTTGAAGAGAGGACCGCGACCGGCCCCCGGTTAAGGTAAGTAACGCTACAGTACCCCCCCCTGAGGACACGCCCCCCGGGCGGGTAGGACCAGGCCTGGCAGGAAAACGAGAATGGAAAGAGCGCACAAGACGGGGAGCATGGACAGCATCAGCCGAAATCCAACTGTGCTCCTCAGGCCCATAACCCTTCCAATGTACCAAGTACTGAAGTCGACCCCTAAGGAAACGAGAGTCAAGAACAGCAGACACTTCAAACTCCTCATGACCCTCCACCGAGATAGGAGGGGGAGGAGGAGTATGCCGGGTATAGCGGTTGCGTACGAAAGGTTTCAACAATGAGGTGTGAAAAACATTAGGAATACGTAGATTCTTAGGCAGGCCTAAGGCATAAGAAACAGGATTAACCTTATGTATAATACGATAAGGTCCAATGAAGCGGGGAGCCAATTTCATAGAAGGCACCCGGAGACGAATATTCCGCGTGGAAAGCAAAACCCTGTCCCCCACAACATAGGACGGAGCTGCTCTGCGATGCTTGTCAGCCTGAGCCTTCTGGCGAGTAGCAGAGTCCACCAAAGAACGCTGAACCTGCTCCCAAGTATTACGCAAACCAGCCAAATGCTCATCCAGAACTGGCATGCCCTGTGAGGAGAATGCAGCCGGAAGAACAACGGGATGCTGGCCATAGACAACGTAAAAAGGGCTCTTGCCGGAAGAATCATGAGTGGCGTTATTCCGAGCAAATTCAGCCCAAGGAAGCAGGTCAGACCAATTGTCCTGATGGTGAGACACAAAACAACGGAGGTATTGCTCCAGAGACTGGTTGGCACGTTCAGCAGCCCCATTAGACTGGGGATGATAAGCGGAAGAAAATGAGAGAGAAATACCCATTTCTGAACAAAAGGCCCTCCAGAACCTGGAAATAAATTGGCTACCCCTATCGGATACAATAGATACGGGAATCCCATGTAATCGAAATACTTCTCTAGCGAAGATATGAGCCAGTTCCTTGGATGTGGGCAACTTGTGAAGAGACACGAAGTGAGCCATTTTGGAGAACCGATCCACTATCATCAGGATTACTGTGTTACCATTTGAAGGGGGTAATTCAACAATAAAATCCATGGACAGGTTAGACCAAGGTCTCTCGGGAACGGGTAACGGATGCAACAGCCCACAAGGAACTCTACGGGAGGATTTCATACAGGCACAAGTAGTACAAGCACTTATATAGTCAGTGACATCCTTTCGTAAGGAATCCCACCAAAAATACCGAGAAACAGCTGACACCGTTTTGGAAATACCAGGATGTCCAGCAGTCTTAGTATCATGATATAATGACATAATATCCCGTCTCTCGGGAACATCAACGAACAGTTTATCATTAGGCCTCTCGCTAGGTGCCATGCTTTGTTTCGCTTGTATGGCCTGCAAGAGGGACGAGGAAATAGACAAAATAGTAGTAGCTATTATCCTGTCTGGGGGAATGACAGGAGTAACATCAATCTCCTGTTTGTCAGTAGTTTCGAACTGTCTGGACAGAGCGTCTGCTTTAGTGTTGCGATCACCTGGCCTATAGGTGATAATAAAATTGAAACGGGACAAAAATAGTGACCACCTAGCCTGCCTGGAAGACAATCTTTTGGCTTCGCTAAGGTAGGATAGGTTCTTGTGATCCGTAAAAATGAGGATAGGATCCTTAGTTCCTTCTAACAAATGTCTCCACTCTTTAAGTGCTAAAATAATAGCAAGGAGTTCGCGATTACCCACATCATAATTTTTCTCTGCTTTGGACATTTGTTTAGAAAAGAAGCCGCATGGATGCAATGGCTTTTCAGGCGACTCTCTTTGGGATAAGACAGCACCTACCCCAATATCCGAAGCATCAACTTCAAGAATATAGGGCAGTGAGGGGACAGGATGCTGTAAAATAGGTGCAGAGGCGAACGTAGTTTTAAGAAATTCAAAAGCCTGAAGTGCCTCGGTAGACCAAACACGAGTATTGCCATCCTTTTTAGTCATACGGGTAATAGGTGCTACAATGGACGAGAAACCTTTGATAAAACGTCTATAATAATTGGAGAACCCAAGAAAACGCTGAATAGCTTTCAGACCTTGCGGTAGAGGCCATTCTATTACAGCAGCAAGCTTCTGGGGATCCATACGAAAACCTTTAGCTGAAATCAAATACCCCAAGAACTGGACTTCGGTTTGGTCAAACAGACATTTTTCTAGCTTGCAATAAAGACCATTAGCAAGAAGGGTCTTCAAAACTGTCGTAACATGTCTGTGATGAGTGTGTATATCTGTAGAATATATTAAAATGTCGTCCAAGTATACGATAACAAATGTGTGAATAAAATCTCTTAAGACATCATTAATAAATTCTTGGAATACTGCTGGGGCATTGCAAAGCCCAAATGGCATAACAGTATATTCGTAATGACCGGATCTAGTGTTGAATGCAGTCTTCCATTCGTGATTTTCCTTTATACGTATCAAATTGTATGCACTCCTAAGGTCTAATTTAGTGAACACAGTGGCATGTTTCAGCCTGTCAAACAATTCTGTAATTAAAGGTATAGGGTATGCATTTTTGATAGTGATTTTGTTTAGACCTCTATAATCTATACACGGTCTTAAATCACCTTCTTTCTTCGATACAAAGAAGAACCCTGCTCCAGCTGGAGAAGAGGATCTCCTAATAAACCCCTTTTCTAGTGATTCCTTAATATACTCCTCCATGACACGGTTTTCTTGAACCGATAAGGGGTACACCCTGCCCTTTGGAGGTATAGTGCCAGGCAACAAGTCAATAGCGCAATCATAGGGTTTGTGAGGCGGTAATTTCTCAGCCTCCCTTTTATCGAAAACAGTCTTTAGAGATAAATACTGAGGCGGTATAACCGTAGACAAAGGAGGACTGGTAGGTACCTCAATAGAATTCAAAGGTGTGACTTCCAACGTACAAGACTCGTGGCAGGCCTCACTCCATGATTTTATTTGCCCTGTCTCCCAGTCAAAAATGGGATTGTGAGCACGTAACCATGGATACCCTAATACTAACTGTGAAGAGGGAGAGGTGATGACCTGGAATCGAATGGTTTCATAGTGTAAAACCCCTGTGTACATGTGTAATGGTACAGTCTCATGAGTAACAACTGGAGAACTTAATGGTCTACCATCTATGGCCTCAACGGCCAAGGGTATCTCCTTCTCTCTGATGGGAATGTTGTTTCTCTTTATAAAGCCAGAGTCTATAAAATTTTCAGCTGCCCCAGAGTCAACCAGAGCATATATGTTGTCAACTATACAAATCTCTCCCATATATAAAGAAACCGGGAGAAGCAAGCGGTTAGGAGGCAATTTAGGAGACTTAGTCCCCTATAAGGTCTTAGGTGCGAGAGTTTTCCGGGAGTAAAGGACATTCCTTTACCATATGGTCTCTCCTACCACAGTATAGGCAGAGTCCCTCCCTTCTCCTATGTAATTTCTCAGTATCAGAGAGTTTGGCAACCCCTAATTGCATAGGTTCCTCCTCAGACACTTTAACACTCTCTGGTATATTAACTCTGGGGTTAATGGGTGTAACAAAACGTCTATTCCTGTTC